TAACATTGTCTTTCTTTTCACGAACTGCTGGGCATACGTTTCAACAGGATAATTCCTGTTTGCATAGGGCACACCTTTCTACTGCTTGTCTTCATGCTAGTTCAATAATTTCCTCGTCGTCGCTATCACCAGATCTCTCCACAATAGAGCCAGTTTGGGTTTTGATAAACAGGCGTCTTCGATCGCGCCTGGATCGCGAAGATCTAATTCGTCAATTAAAATGTAGCTGGCAAGCAATCCCACAGGAAAGAATCCTGCAAATCTATGGGTGAGTGGTGAGCCGGATAGCAGTGTACACCAAAGCGAGAGGTATGCCAACGAATTGTTGATATTTTTTCTGCTGTTGTAGCCTTATTTTGCCAACAAAATGCTAATTTTCTATACTGTCGGCTTTTCGTTTTCAATACTTGTACATACCATCTACAGATTTTAATCCCATTCGGATAATTCTTCTTGGTGCTTGGCATTTTATGTTGTAGAGTTACGCAATAACTGAGTTGTAAAGAAAGCAAATCATGCTGAACATTAAAATTGAACAAATTAAGTTTAGTCTGGCTTTAGTTATAAAGAGTAAATTGTAGAGGTTATTTTAACTTTCTAACAGTTATTTTAAGTTTTAAGCATATTTTGCTGTTTATTCTCGTTCCCCACCTACTATTTCCTACCAGAATAAGTTTTAGTATCGCATTGCATATAAATGAAGTGTAAAGAGTATTTAAAGGAAGGTTTCGCTTACTTCAGCAGAAGAGCTTAGGAGCCGCGTGTTGGCCGTGAAGCTACTTCGTAGTTTAGAGCTTATTACGCTCGGCCGTATTGTACGTGCCTGCTGAATATTCGCCGGTTAATTTAATAAAGGGCCAACTACGTTAGATAATTTTGTTCAGTTTAATTTAGCGTACATTAGTTTCTTTTTTTCTTATCTTGAGTAAAAGCCAAATAGGAGGCTTTTCCGTAAGCCCGAGAAAGGGATCACCCATATTCTTAGTTTGGCATAATAAAGAGGGAGTTTAACCCTTTATTAATGGACTTGTTCATTTACACACTTGGACTCAGCGATAAGTAGCTACATAGTTCAACTAGGTTTCTACGAGGTCAAGCATAGAAAAAGTAGTTAGAAACATTACACAATTATAACTTTCTTTGGAAATACATACAGTGAATTAATTCCAGTTTGTGAGTTGCTTAATTTTAAATGTATTTTAGATAATATTTTATATTTATTCGAAATCTTTCAATAACTTTGCCGCTGATTCGTCCTTTATATGAATTATCTTTGTGTACATTTATAGCTAAGATAGTGTAACGACTTTTAAGTTTTCTTTTATTACATTTCAAATTTTTTCCATGTAAAGGCCAGATATGACGTAAATAAATAATTAATGACTGTAAGAGTCTTTATGAATTTTATATTTGAAAAATATGATCACGAAAGAAATTATAGATTGTTTATCCATAACATGTGCATTTTTTAACTTAATATGTTTAAAACATGAGATCCGAAAATATTGTTTTCTTAAATTTCAATATTATTCTTTTTGGGAGAGGGATCGCTTATGTTATTTTAGGTGAAAGAAGTCGCTAAGTACGTTAAATTTCTTTTTCGTCACATCAGAATATTTTATTTGAAAGGGAAATTTAAAAGTCTGCGGTTTTACCTACTGACCTAAGATCTTCAGTATGCTCCATAAACATAAGAAGTCAAATAATAAAAATTCTGTGTTTTTATTGAAACAATGTAATATTATTTTAAAAGAGTGATCCGAATTCATATGTCTATTTTTTAAATTCATAAAAATAGAGTGACAGGTGGAATGAAAACAAAACTTTCAAGTTTTGTCTACAGGCGTTCTACATGACATCTTTTTTCTTTACTGGAAAGCATCACCCCTACTGACCAAATGGATAAGAGAATGGAATAGTAGCAGTTCGATCAGGGTTTGACTCTCAGCTATTGGTTTAGCTGTATGTGAATTTACTTGGTTTCGGCATACGTAACGTGAATATGAACTATTTCTGAGAGTCTTTACTAAGGAATTCCTACTGAAGCAGATAACCATCTGTTCTATGTTGTTGTCCGTTATCCAACTAGCCAACCATGAACAACGTTAACACGGCATTTAATTTAGGTTGAGTAGCTGCTGGTTGAGTATATTCTTTGCTACTGTTGCCTTGAGGATTTTGAAATAATTTAGAATTTTATGCAATTTTCGTACAAACACAGCATTTTAAAAATTGCGTCAAAGGAAAAAAAGTTGTATAACATAAGACTGGAGATCTAGACGCTGTTCAACTAAGCAAAAGAATCCATTGCGTCTTATTCAAAACGCATTTATTGGCTATTAAAGCATCCCATTAAGAATATGGCATTCTGTATCAATATTTTTGGGGTTATAATTTAAAAGTTTGAAGACTTTCCTTTTTATTTGATGAGTATCAAAGGATTGCTTCGTTAGCAGATGCAAAATTATGTTCAGTTGGACCAGTGGGCTCAATCAATCATCTTTAAATCAACATATAATAATTTTTTTAGACTCTGGGATCAGTTTGTTTTGTTTGATACATTTAAAAATTTATGTGACTTCTATTTCTGTTCTCTGTTGTAAATGATCTCTAGAACGTAACATTTCGTATGGGAGTTAAATTCGAAAAAGCTACGGTTTTTGCTCGAACTTGCTTGCAAGATAACCGCTTGAACTTGTCAAAGCAACAGCAAGAAATAATCGAACTTAGTATGATTTCTGAAAAATGACATGCTTCCTATGTATATTGTAGAAATGTAAGAGAAAATCTAATTTATACAATCAGAAAGAATTTTTAGTTTTATTGAAATGGAATTATTTTCCCCACGGTTCTTTTCTGCTGACTCTGCTTCAAACCAGTTCAAAACCAGTGTAGTCACTTCTTTCTCACAACTGTATTCAAGCGTTTCGAAGAATGCAAAATGGCAAATAACTTTGTTTCTAGAATGTTTCAGTAGCTCTAATAATAAGTATTTTTATTTATTCCATGCTTTTTTTCTTATGCTTAGTTCTTAAAAATTGTTCTGTGTTTAGTTTGTTGACATTTCTTTCCTTGTAAGTAAAGTACCTTTTTTAATTGCTTCAAATCATTCCAAACGTCCATACGCCTTTTTCCAGTATACTTATCGTCACACTTGAATACGTTTTCTATGATCTAGATTTTTGCTTTTGGGAAATAACTGACCAATAGTAATCTGTCTTATAGTTATTAATAATACCGTGTGTAAAATACAAACTGGTTCTTTACCTTGGCGTAATAGCGACAGAAGTGACAAGCATACTCTTAAGTTTTAATTCTGTGTTTGTTGAAAACCTAACAATCTTAAAACGCCATGTTGGTTTTTGTTGCATTTTACATGTATGATGTTTCCTGCATCTATCAAGTTTTATTTTATCATTTATTCCAGGTTAGCATGTTTGAAACATATAATTATATTACTTTGTGGGAATTGCATTGGAGATAGCAGCTTTTTTTGTGTTTTAGAAATATAATTTGCATTTTCTATTTTGTCTCTATAAAACAGTATTTAGTATTCGCACCGGCGGGTTCAACATTCGGTCTTTTGGGCGTATTTTCTAGTACACATACTGCAATAATCAATCTATGTGTACACGCACCACACACGTGTTTGAGCACACATATTTCAATATGTAGTTTTAAACAAAACTCAGTGGCACAGCAGCCCTAGTGAGCCATGACATGCACTGCCCCGATCTCTGCTTTCCTGACCGTGGGCTCCGGGGTGCGTGAGTATATGCCCTGAACAAGTGGTCAGCTTGTTGCAGGACCCCCAGTGTTTAGTACCAGTTCTCGAACTTGGTACTAATTTTATTGACCCACTCAAGGGATGAAATGCTGAATCAACCTTGCCCAGCCCGAGGATCGAACTCCGGAACTATGGTGCTGCTGCACGATGTGCTGACCACTGCGCCACCGGGCCTAATATGCAAACTTACACCCTTTATATTTAACAGTAATTTCTCTCTATAATATCCGCTGGTTCTAAAAATGTAAATATCGGTCATCTAGATTTTGTTTTCCATAAATGTTCTTGTCTCTTATAAAATGGTTCTTTTTACTATTTATAAACACAGCAGCACATATAAGCTGTAAAGATATCTAAGCAAAAATTTTTTTGTCGATCTAAAACGTTGTGAGTTTGCGACTTTTCATCGGGGAAGAAAATACTCATATTCTCTCTATATAATATATTAATAATCAATTTCATGTCTCTAATAACAAAATTAATTTGTTACCAACTATGGTTTTTATATGAATCTTTCAAACTGTGTCAATAAATTCTTTATCATTTTAACAGGGTGATATTTCATAATAATATTGAAATGGTTCTTAAAATAAAACGTTATCTCTGCGGATCTACATTTTAGTAGTTCAGTATCTCTTAAGATATTCAAGAAAATATCCTCTTTATTTGTATTTGCGTTTGAGGTAATGCTTCCAAGTGATATGAAATTCATCTTGAGGATTTGATAAGAATCTATAAATGACTTCAAGCACGTTTAAAGGGAAGAAATAAAAAATAATTTTAATGGCAGTATATATGCATCATTTACAAATTCATCATATAAAAACCATAGTCTTATAATTTAAAGTTCTGAAGTTTCCGGGAGCTTCATTATACCTAATCGTTCTGTAGTCAAATTCTATCCATCAAGTCCGTTTTTTTTTATTCTCTATATTGCCATATTCACTAGCAGATGATTAAGGATTGTTATGATTTACCTTTCAGAACAGCTTACTAATAACGAAATGTGTCACGAAATATTCTCATGCGCTTATTTCTGAGCAATTAAGAATTTTACATTTTCCGATTTGATAATCTTAATATTTTAATAATCACTAAAACGTTAGTAATGGAGCATTTGTTTATTATTCTGAGAATATTTTTAGTTATAATATGTAACAGTTTGGAATATGTTAACAAATTTTAGATAGCAATTTCATTTTTATTCTTTCAGGCTCTTCAGTCTCGAATGGCAGTCCTTGAAAGCATACAGGAACGGCTGATGCGAGCCATAGATGATGTCCATCAACATCTAGCGCCGTCCAAAGACGCGAAGAACTGTACAAACCTTCTCAAGAACCCTAATTCTATTATTCATGCCAAACTATCACCTGAAAACAATTCTGCGAGTGATAAAAAGCTTAAGTTCGTGGACACGGAAACTTCAAATTCCAGGTCAGATACCTCTAAGGCTGAATTGTCCAAGAGTGATAGTTTTAACAAAGATAGTGGAATTGGTGCCAGTGAGAGCAGCCTTGTAAACACAGACCCCTCAAAAGACACTGAAGATGAAGATGAACTTTTGCAATTGCTCGAAATAATCGACCAAAAAAGCTTGGTATTACTCCAACAAGTGGAAGGAGCCGAGTCATCCGAAAAAGCCAAATTAATTCCCGAAATGGATGAACAATCCAGTGCCATGTTGCTGGACAACCTTTTGTTTGAAAAAGTTGACACCCAGAGGCAATTATCAGAAGTAAAAGCCGAGAGAGATGAATTAAGACGGCGACTTGTGAAACTAGAACTTGCTACAGAAGCGGTCACAAAAGAGAAAGTTAGAGTCCAGCAGCAACTCGATGCGACGCTCTTGGAAAACCAGAAACTTCAGGAGAAAATACAAAATACAGGTGAATCGAAGTTCAAGACAGAGTCAATAGGATATCTTGCGGATATAGAGAGAGCGAATATTAAACGGAAGTATTTGCAGTATAGTGAAAAAAGTCGAAGAAAAGTATCTAGTATACTAAAAGAAACAAATGTGTTGGAATTACAAAAACAGCTTTTAACTTATGTGATGGAAAACGATGTTCTTAGAGCAAAACTTCAGCAAGATGAACCATCTAGAATGGCTAATTGGCTAAAGATAGAATCTCGGCTAAGAAAAGAACTCAAAGAAGCTTTAGATTCGAAGCAGAATCTCCAAGAAAAGCTTCAAGCCAAAGACTTAGAAATAGCATCACTTAAAGACCGTATCCGTGCGTTAGAAGAATTAGTGGAAAGTGACTCTTGTGTGAAAAACTTCGGCATGGGTAGTACAGAGGACTGGAGAGAACCAGGTGTTGCGAATGTTTACAATAAACGTTCCAATTTAAATACTGTGTCTCCGTTTTCACCATTAGGCTATGGAGATTTTTCAAAGACTCAAAGTCTCCCCGCCATGCTTTTATTGGAATCCCAACAAGCCAAACTGAAGGAGCAAGAAAGCGAACGAGAAGCTTTTGGTCATGTTTTCGATACAGGCAGCTTTACAGAAATCCCACTTGATCAGAGCTTCCAATCTGAAAAAAATGCAAACAATTTCAGCCAACACATCGACAATACGAAAGATCTTGTCGATCTTTCATCTCCTATCGGACCAAACTATTCTTCAACTTCAACTTTAATGCAACCGCAGTACCTGTACCAGCCAACATTACATTCCGGTTTGTCTGCCCCAAACTTGAGCGTGCGAGGCAGTAACAGTCATCTTCAGAATTGGGGTTTTGCTCCACGAAAATCAACCACTGTTACCTTAGATAATGGGGACAATGAAGGAGGTGCCAAATTGGTGAATGGTCACCTTTGTTGGAAAGGAGGCAGCAGGCTTCCAATTCCAAATGGTCATTTGACGACCTCTCGAGATATGTCGAGTATCTGCACTGAATTTGATCCACTCAGTGACGATTCTCCTTCATGTGAGAACTTTGTGGATTCTTTGAATTTATCCATTCCATTAAAGCCAACTCAGGTAGCTATATCACAGCTGTCTTCAATTGGAGACAGTCTGCATAGTACCAGCTTGGATTTAGGGTGCAATTCGTCTCCTGTTCCACCCCACGATAACAGGAAGATTCATAATGCTAGATCGGTGGATGGAATTCGTGAACTTTTATTAGAAAATGGCTACTGTAAAAGGCCGTCCTCTTCTCTTTATGGAAACTCTAGTGTTGCACCAGTTATTCTTGGTAAATCTGGATGTCACAGGCCTGTTAATTTAATGAACTGTATGCATGAATCTTCTGATTATTCCTTGTTGTGATAATTTTATTTGTATTATGCAATAGAAAGTGATTTTTTAAAGCTGGCTTTTTCTTGTGGACCAGACTATGAAGCTTAAAATATTATGTAATAAAATATTTTATATTAATTGCGTGGAGTTATTTGAAGAATTTTTATTCGTACACCATAAGTAAAATATGATTTTAATAAACTATCCATGTTCGTGATAATCTTATCAGTAAATACTGTTTGCTTTTTGAGGTGAAAATTCTAGAGATAAGGTATACAATATTTTGTGTTACAATATTTTGTGTTAGGTAAGAAATTATGTTAAAACAGTCATGAACAAACCTCTTAGATTGCAATACAATTTTCAAAGTATAATATTCATCAGATTCTGTTGTAACATTAAACTTGCTTTCATATTTATAATATGCTATTTACGTTTCCAAAACATCGCATTGGCATATAAAAATAAGTGGATTAAGGTGTTTGATATTATTGTATTTATGTAATACTAAAGATATTAAACATCCTAAACTTACTTCATTATACAAATATAAAATTTTCAACAAGATGATGTTTCACAAGCCATAGCTTTGCTAATTTATACATTTTTATTGTTATTTGTTTAGTCTTGTTTTACTTTTCTGATGCTACGTAGTTTCATAACTCTAGGATTTGCTGCTTAGTATTCTACATTACAACGGTTAGATCACGTATTTTATTTCTTTTTAACCCCTTAGATTTTATTTGGCTTTATTTTATGTCCTATATGCTAGATTTTTGACGGGGCAGGATTTAATGGCCTTAATTGCTTTTTAAATTAGTTAAGATTTATTTGCGTGCTTTTATTTATAAATTTTAAATTAGAATTTTGAAAACGTGTTAAAGAGAAGTCACAAAAATGTTTGAAACGCAGTTAAATTATTCATAACAATTTCATAAATGGCATATTTACTTCTACTATTCGTTCGTAATTATATTTCAACAAGTATTGAGCGTTACGTTTGCTAGAATTCACCAGTCTTCTATCAGAATTCTCTAAATTTTTATTACCGTACGGAAGCCAAAAATCAGCAACAACAGATAGTGTTTACACGATTTCGGAAAAAGAATTAAAAAATAGCCAATGCTTTGAAATAAATATTCTTGGCAACAGCTTATTATGTGAAATGAGAAGTATCATCTGCTACTTTTAAATTTATTCTTCTTTAAAAATTGCTTCTTCTTTAAAAGAAAACTCCAAAGGAATACCTGAAAAAGGCATGTACTAATGCTTCTAAAGTTAAATCGTTGGTACCAAGAGAAAATCCGCTTATGGGAAGTTTCAGTAAAGGGTTTATGATTGTTGCAGGTTTCTCTTACGATGGGAATTTAAAAATAAGAAGAGTGGAAAAAATATTAAAATCAGCTCAATGCCACTATTAAGAAAAAGGTTTACGCCTGATATTTTCAGAGAAAAATCCATTTCTTTATTCCAGTGACTTTCAACAAATGAAACTTCATCAAAGCAAAACAACAAGTCATACTTCTAAAAGTACCACTGCATTCATTGAAAAAAATGAAGATTAATACAGGTATTGCATGTGTTCCTTTTCAACATATTCCTGCGAAGTCTTCTGATGTTTAAACTATCGAATATTGTTTCTGTGGTCTCTTGCAAAGAGCTCTTTCTAAGCGCAAACCTACTACGATTGGGCTCTGGAAGATAATGAAAGAGGAATGGAAATCATTAGCTCTGAAAATTTTACGAAAAGCTGTTCTGTCGTGAAATCATGATGAAGCCCCATAGCCCCCAAAAAAGCTGTCATATCGAAATTTAAAAATACATTCTTTACATTTTGACCATGAATTAAACTACTCCGAAATCGTTCTCAAAATGTGTAAACACTGTCTGTATATGGACGTTTATATTTTGTTAGATTATTTATACTCTCACAATACACATGCTCGTCGACTGTCTGCCTTAAACGAAAGAATGGAACTTCATCAAAACAAAGTATGAAGTTATACTTCGAAAAGAACCATTTTAAGATATTCTTTGAAAATATTAAGACTGATGCAGGCATTTGATATATATATATGTTCAATGTATATCTGCGTCACACCCTCATGTTTCATCTATGCATTATTGGTCCTTTGATTTCTTGAATAGAGCTCTTTTTAAGCGCAAACCCACTACGATTCCCTCTCTGGAAAGTAGTGGACGAGGAATGGAAATGAGTACCTCTGTAAGAGCCCTTTTATTATAGTAATTAGGCGGCAGATTTATATTCCAGAAAAAAGCTATCAAGTCGATAGTTATGAAAGCACGTTTTACATTTTATACATTAAATAAACGGATGTGAAATCGCTCTAAAAATGTGTAAACATCCCATGTACTTTTATAAATCAGCCTTTAACGGAAGACACCATATCTTTACTTACCAAAAACTAATATTTCACGCTTCTGTTATGAGCACTCAATTTTTAAAATACTAAATAATCACTCGTTGCTAGTTTTAAACTCAGTATCTACTGATCTGAAAACACTTTCATCTGAAAACAAACTAGATATTTGACTTCAAAACACATAAAGATGCAACCCCAGATATTATAATTGCATATCAGTATTTATAAAGCTTTTGTATCTAAAAACTTTAGCTTTTTACGCTGTTGGAATATATCAGAATGAAATGGAAAGTTCATAGTGTTTCTTTTTTAACGCTAGTGTATTAAAACAGGAAATAAAGTAAAATATAAAAACAAATAAAACTTGCCCCATTTATGATAAAATGTTGCGCAGCTTCCAAGCAAAATTTAACTTGAAAGTGTCTTCTTTCAACATGTCTAAATTTACAGAAGTCTTGGTCACATTGTATACATAAGCATATGCCGACGGTTTATTGCCATTATACTCCAGACTCATCTAGAAGGTCATTCAAGAAGCTTCAGCAAACAATTCAAAGCCAACTTCATTTAACATCATGAACGGCATCATGAACTTTAGATATGTTGCGATTTCCTAACTCGAAACAATGCAACAACAGTTCAGAAATGAGACAATAGAATTCTCGAATCCTTGAGTTCCGCGAATTTTGAAAAGGTTTCGAGATTCTAAAACTCAAATTTTGCACTTTTTTCGCTATTCGAATCTTTTGAAATAACAAGTCTTCATATGTTTTAATTCAAAATCTCGGAAAGGATTGGATTGGATTATTTAATTATAGCAAAGCACAAGAGGGCTATCTGCCTAAAGGGAAGGATGCTTTCGTGGAGAACTTTCTAAGGAAAACTGGTTTATATACACGTTACACATTGAGAAAACCACGAAAACGGCCATGCAGCCAGCCCGTTCGCGGGATTCGAACCTCGGACCGAACTACCAGTGTTCTGCGTCTTTATCGCTCGGCCGCTGGTGGGCCCAAAATCTCGGAAAGATATTTTTTGTGTCCAGAAGAGCCTATTCTTTAAAAAACGAATGCAGTTATTGACATTTCGGTGTACTCGGTTTCCCTAAGTGTCACACTTTCAATTTTCTGGAGAAAATTTAACATTCATTGTTTAATGATTCTTCCTGTCTCAACTTGCTTTTACTGAAACATATTCTGAAAAAATGTAAAAATATGAATGGTTATTCAAATGCTTATGTAAAAGCAAAGTGAACTTCGACCTTAAGATTGTGTTTAATTACGCAGTTCATTTATCATATTTCATTTGTGTCTCCTTAAAAAAATATAAGTATATTTTTGAAAATTATATTCCTTAATTATTTTTTTATTTAAGACGTATTGCAATTTTGTTTGATGACAAACATTTAATATTAAGTATTGTTATTATTATATTCTCCTTCGAAGGATTCAAGAGCTTTTTTGAATTCAGGTTCAAATTCGAAAACAAATTAAGATTTGTTTCACTTCTGCAAAAACGAACAAATAGCAAAGGATAAAATTAAATCAAATCTTTCAAAACTTTGAAATTCCCAATTATGCAGGTAATATACGAGTGTGCTGCAACCCTTCTGGGCGATAATCATTAGCTTTATGGTTTATGCAGCACACCCAACACAGATTAAATTAAAATACAGTTAAAAACATCTGACCAAAATTATCAGTATTATTCTATTGCCATTTATAAAGTTCATCATATTCTTTGCAAATCGAAGCTCTTTCCTGAGGCAGCAGAATTCGTTTATGCTACTATGTTTTTCCCTAACGTGTGGCAATAATACGCAGTCTTCGTCAAAGTGCCGTGCTTTACCTTCAGCACTACAAAAACTACAGACTATTATTTTGCAAATTAAATCTTTTCAGGTACTCCGGGAAGCGCCCGTGTCCAGTAATTATTTGATTGTAATCAAAATCATATATCATTCTCATATTTTTAACAGGAACACTGTGGGAATCCTTTGTAAACCATTCTTTCAATACAAATATCTCTATTAAATCTCTAAATCACTTTCCTTTCGTTAAAATTATTAAGAAGGATTCTATAAATACTTTTGGGTGTTCCCAAATCTCTAAGTGTGAAGAGAAAATACGACCATCTAACAAAGTCAAATGCTTCCGAGACATCGAAGGAGACCATTTTGTGAAGCTGCCTCGTGTAAATCCTTATGTTTTTGTAGATATAAAATCATTTTTTAATAAAAGGTAGTACAATATTTTTGTAAGTAACTTATTCAAAACGTTTGCACAAAATTTTACTACACATATCCGCCTGGTCGCCACAGCAAACTTTGGAATAAACAAAACTTTAGAAACTTTCCACACTTTAGGAAAATAGCTTAAATCAAGGCATTTAGAATACCGCAAAGAAATCAGAATATTTACAAAATAAAAATTTTACCATAGTCGTGGGGATACCATCCGGTCCTGGGGCACTACAATTACGCAGTTTCTTATCCACGTTGCTAATTTAGGACAAACTAAACAGCAGATAATCTGAAACACAACCGCCATTCTGCAACAAATCCATACCCCCCCCCTAAAAAAAACCTTCATCAGAGCCACAGTGAAAGTTACTAGTAAAATAACCCTTTATAACCTCAAAATTTTTCGTATAAGTATTACCCTTTTCTCTGATAATCATTTCCGAGACACGTGTTTTACCAATTATGCCGCCCGAAGAAATCCTCTAGAATATTTTGCACTGTCAACAAAGAAT